CCTGCTGCGGGGGAGCCGGCAGGGACCGGCACCACACGTCATGAGATAAGCCGAGCCCGCTTGGGTTGTGCTCGTGGTGTTTTATTCTGAGTCCCCTCCATGTCCGTTCCTCTGCTGCATCTCCAGCAGAACAGTCTGAAGCCACCTCAGCCCCATGTGCGGGACTTTGTGTGGTTTTATTCCCTAGACCCCAGAGCTGTGTCCTGGAACGGGACAAGTTTCCATCCGGGAGCAAACAGACCCAAGGGCTGCCTGCGCTATCAGTGCCGTACCTGGAGCTCCAGCTCCTCCCTCCCTCCCAGATAAAGCAGAGGGCTGTGGAGCTGTGCTGGCTCCCGGGAAGTGCTCTGCAGCGACCGAAGTCCTCTGCCCAAGGGCACCTCTCGCCAGCACTTTGGCAGAAAGCAGCTCCTCCTGCTGAGGCTGGTCCCTGCAGGGTCCGAGCCCTGTGTTTAATTGGGTCTGCTCCATATCTGTAACGTGTCACATAAAACTCTGTTTAATATCCTCTTGGCACTAGTTCACGCTCTTAATGGGCACGTCAGCCTTTGCGATAGGGTGCGCAGTTGTCTAACTCTGCTTGTGGGATTGGAGCGCGAGGAGAAGCCCAGGTAACGCGCTCGTGAAGGCCCTTTGAGAACTGGGCTGATGGGATGTGGCGGCCTCTCTCTGGCTGCTGGGATCTCCTCCCTGCAGTTTGCCGGCGCGGCTGGAAGGGCCCTCCCGAAGAACAACGGCGTTTCTTTTGTCTTCAGCTCAGCAGCAGGACGCTGCTGCTGGTGAATGCGCCGGTGCCAGCAGTGCCAGGCTCCTGTAGGGAGGAGAAGGGGCTCTTTGCCCTCCAGTAACAGCCTCTTTATCACATTATTGTTTTCTGCTTTCTTAGCTATGTAGAGATTAGAATTTCTTTGGTTTCTGATGTGCTGAACTAACCTGTGCTGACCCCTTATGGGACTTAATTCTTGGGGTTTTCCCTCCAAACCCCGAAGACCCCAGATTTTACACTGATAAAGATGCTTCCAAAATGGCTTTTACCTCTGGTTAGGTCAATGTCAAGCACTGTCAAAGCTTACACCCAAGTCAGTCTGTGCTTTTTGGCAGTTGTAGTCTCTTGGTAGAGGTGAACCTCAGAGTTCAGCTTGCTGTGCTCCTGAAGGCATGGTTCTGCGTGAGGTGGGTTTAGAATGGCATGCCCTGTTTCTTGTACATGGGCTCCTTTCCAGAAGACAACTTGCCCCTCCCTGTGGCATACACGTCCTCTGGAGCACCACCGCTCATTGCTGATGTGATCTTGGGGTGTTCCCTCGCCTGCAGCCAGGAAGAGAGCAGTGACATTGGCAGAACTTTTCCATCTCCTGCCTCAGGGTGGTTGCTGTGTTGGTGGCATGTGCTCCCGGTGGACCTCCCTTGAAGAGGATCTGAGGTGAGGGTTTTCCGTGTCGGTGTTCCAGCCGGGAGTGTTGCTGTAGCCAGCTCCAGTGCTGCTCAGGGCAGGGCCCTGGGCTCCAGCATTGCAGTGCAGCACTTCCCTGGGGTTTGGAGCAACGGTTTCCAGGCTCACTGCAAATACATCAGCTCCTGGAAATCGTCCCAGGCCTGGGAGGTGCAGATGACTGCGAGAGCTCCGGTGAGGGTCAAGTGTTTGCTACAGATACTGCTGTGCTTCACTAGCATTTGGGGTGAGCGTGGCATTCAGGAAAGTCCAATAGCTGATTTGCACGTGAGATGTGGATGAATTATACAGGAGAGCTTGTGCTGAGCCGTGGGGGGACCTGGCCTGCGATGTGGTGCCCTGTGGCCATGGCTGAAGTCCATGTCCTCCGGGGCTGCCGTGTTTGTTTCCCCTTCCTCCAGGGCTTTGCTTGATGGGCTGGTTACAACAGAGCTTCCCGAGTGGTGGCAAAGTGCTCGGTCATGCAGTGCTTGCACTCGTGGCAACCCCTAGCTGCTGCTGCTGCTGCCCCCTCTCATTCTAATGCTCTCTTTGTTTAAGCCTTTCTCACCCCAGCCTCCCATGATGGGCACTGTGATAGTGTTGTTATTGTCTGCTTGGAGATGACAGAATGCTCAGGAGCACAGATATCGCACTGGGAGTGGAGCAGCAGCAAGAGCCTGACATGCAATAGTATGCCAGTGTTGACCCGCAGCTTTCCCAAACAAGGGATCTCTAACACGGCTGTCAGCACTGGGAATGAATTGCTGAGTGTAATTCAGCTGTAGATGGGGCGCAGGGTGACGATGCCCCAGCACCAGTGAGTGCCAAGTGACAACCTCATGTGGTGGCCTTACCTGTTGCTCAGCCATTCAGGACAGCACTTAGCTTTCTAGATGATCTTAAGGTCCTTTCCAACCCTAACTCTTCTATGATTCTGTGATTCTCTGCTGTGACAGATGGACCAGGCACATCCCCTGCACGATGCCTTCCTAAAAGCAAAGCGCCCTCGGTGCAGGGAGGGATGGCAGGCTGGGGATGGGGCTCGGGGTGCAGTGTTGGTGTGGTGGTGGGGGTTTGTCTTGCCCTCATCTCCAGGCTGTGTTCCTGTGCAGGGGATGCAGCAGTGCTGCCAGCCCTGCTACCCGAGGAAGCAGGAGGGCCCTGCTCGGCTCTGCAGTGCCATGGCACTGCTGAGTGATGGGCTGAGCATCCAGCACAGTGGCTGGGTGTTTGCTTGATGCTGGAGTGAGGGTGTCAACAGGACAACAGTGGCTTCCTTGAGCAGACATCTCATGCTCTTCAGTGAATGGCAGCTGAAGGAGCTGGCATCTTTACCTCCTGTGTGAGTTTCAGGGGATCTTTTCCTATCAGATTTCTGCTCTCCTGGCTGGCTGTTACTGCTTTCCGAGGCACAGCGGGGAGCAGAGCCGTGCACTCGTCTCATCTGAATGCTTCACAGTGCCACCCCACCCCACGCTCTGCCATGTAGTATCATCAGTCCTGAGTCCACTCTTGCTGCGCCTCAGGGACAGCAGGACCTGCCGCATTCCCAAAGTGCAGGTTTCTGGTCAGTGGGAGCGGCACGTCCCACGCTGCTGCTCACACACAGGCTGAGCGGGGTCGCTGCAGGGGCCGATCCCATTCATCCTGAGTGCTGCTGTGTAGCACGTGCTGCAGGTGATGAATCTCCTTGCTGAGAATTCACCGAGGAAACTCAAGAGGTGTGAGCGCGCAGCCAGGGCTGGGAGCTCTGGCGCAGCTCTTGCGCAGCTCTTGCACAGCTCATGGGTCCAGGTTTTAAGCCCATAACACGTTGTTCATGTTGTGACGACAGTGACAAAAGCTGTTGTGTCAGCTGGACAAGGGTCAGGCTGCAGCCCTTTGGGGCAGAGCCTGTCCAGAGAAATAACCCCATATTCCTTCCCCAGATGGGATCCAAGGTTTCTCTGTAATTGCTGCCTGACTTGCAGCTCTTCCTAGACTTTGCCCTTGCAGAGGGAAAGCAAAGTGATCTCGGGCTGCCTCTGGACGCTGAGCTCAGCCCTCCTGCTGGCCATGCACCCGGAGGCAGGACTGTGCACGGGGAAACCTCTGAGGGTTGTGTTGCTGCCAGCAGCTGCAGAGCTTGTGGTGTCTGAAGGTAACCCTGCTGGTTTCGGGGCCAGGCCCCACATGTGGCTCTGGCCACTCCGTGTTGCAACTGGGGCCAGAGCATCCTGTGGCTCCAGTGCCAAGCCCCCCCGCCCCTTGTCACCCACGGGGGATGAGAGCCTGGTTAGCTCCCGGCAGTGCATGGTGGGCTTGCAAAGGAACCAGGGGAGCTGGAAAGCATGTTGTGTTTGGGGCAGCCGTGGGGGGGAAGGCTACACAGAACTCAGCAGTTAATGCTGTGGATGTTGTGGATTGCCTTGCTCAGGATGACAGACCCGCTGGGAGGGATAATCCCCAGCTTTTCACCACAGGAGCCTTACTCTTGCCTTCTGGGAGAGCAGGAGCCTGGATTGGATCCACCCCTGCAGAGCCAGGGCTCACTGGAAAGCCTGGGTGCCCAGCTCCATGGGAGGAGCCTGGGGAAGCACAGCACACGGAGAGGGGAGGTTGTGCTCTGTGCTGGGATTTGGGCAGGGTTTCCATAGGAAAACTCCATAGGAACTTCACCCCCACAAAAATGGGGTTTTCTTAAGGAATTGGGGTAAAAATGTGTTTCCTTTCATCCCTGTAAACCATGGCTCCAGCACGGCCTGTGCTGCGGTGCCCAGGACATGTGCCTGTGGCTGTGCAGAAGGGATAGGGACCACAGGGGAGCGGGTCTCCTGCTCCCTTTGCACTGCCCGTCAGTGGGGTTAGCACTGGGAACTCCTCACCAGACCTCTCTGTGCTGGTGAAGCAAACAAGCCTTACGCTGTGTGTCCTCTCCTGAGCTGGGGCTGCCCTGGGGCAGGAACCTGCCTACTTTGTTTGGAACCTTCTAGTCCTTTGCCTCAGGGAAGTCAGAGGAAGGCGGATGTCTTGTTGCACGGGAATGTTGCGCTTCCAAGTGAATCCATTCCTGAGAAGCACAGGACACTAATCCCTGGCAAGTAGTCTCTGGTACAGGAGGCTGCTGCCCATGTAGGGGACAGCCAGAGATCCCTGCTATTCCAGTGTGCTCCCATGCCTTTTGCTTTCTCCAGTGGTGGGCTCTCGAAGCAGGCCTTGGGTGCTCCTCCTAGCGGAAGGGTCCATCCCTCAGCTGGTGTCCTCCAGGGCAAGATCCCTGTTGCTGGCTGGTTGTGTTCCTGCCATCGCCCATGACTGAGCAAAGTGGGAGCTGGGAACAAACCAAAATGCTGGGAAGAGCTCTGGGCCTGGCTGGCTAAAGGCATGGCGGCACTTTGGTCATGGCTGCTCGTTAGAGCCGACCCAGGGGTGAATCCCCACGGTGGTGGGACCAGAAGGAAGTGCTGGACAGCTTCTCCTTGTAACACTATGTGGGAAAGTCTGGGCTCGGACTCGGTGCCAGCCCCGGGCCCAGCTCAGGCAGAGCTGGTCACGGCGTGGCTCCCAGCGCCGCGTGTCCCCGCAGGTGCCGGTACCTGGCGGTGCAGCTGTCCCCGGCCATCCCCGTGTTTGCAGCAGTTCTCTTCCTGTTCGCCATGGCCACGCTCCTGCGGACCAGCTTCAGCGACCCCGGCGTGATCCCCAGGGGGGTGCGCCTGCAGCTGGCTCCGCTTGCCTGAGTCTCAAAAGAGTGGTGCAATGTACCTGCTTCCCTCTCCGGGAACATCTTCACTGCTGTTTTCTCTCCTACACATGGGCTCAGTTTGCTTGGGAAGGGGTGCAGGAGCTCAGTGTGGGCCCCTTGATCCATCGGGTAGAGAGGAGGTTTGGTGGATGTGGGTGACACCCTCCCAGCCCCCCTCAATATGCCCATGAAAGCTCTGGCATCCCTTTTCCTGCCTCCAAGCTGCCAGCTTGGCTCTGGACTGTGTGAGCAGAGCTGCAGCCGCTGGCTCCGGACCCAGCAGGCTCTGATCCCGCTGGTAGGAGAAGCAGGAGGCGAGCTGTTGTCCTTGGCCCGTCGGGTTG